GCAGCAAACCTAGAGCTAGCTGAGATCTTGGATGATGATGCGGCAGTGGTCGTGGTGCTGCTTGAACCATCGAGAGATTTAGAGCCGCCGTCTATGCTGCCATCGAGCTTAGGAAGCAACTGGGTGGAGTTATTTAAGAAGTCTTGGTATTGCTCCTCCGTAATTTGTGAAAGAAACTCCTCTATTTGCCTGTCTATTTCACTTGAGATGTCAGAGACAGAGACAGCCATTGTTGGGAAGATAATGTTATTTTTCAAACTGTTATAGTGCGCTGTTGCTACGCGCAAAAGCTACCATGGGAATGCATTGCTGTTGCTAACTGTTGCTAAGTAAACTATTTGTTTATTTTAGTACATGGTAGAAGTTGGTTATACAACTCTGTGTCGGTATCTATGGCCTTATCATACCTCGGGCCTACGGCCCTCGGTATGATAAATGCCATAGATACCTCCACCTCGTTGTATAACCTTTACTTAATTCAATCAATTGGACACTAGTCTCATCCATTGCACAACTCAATAACACTCAATATCGTATTGATTGTCTCACAACTACTGATATAAATCCTTCAATTGATTTATACTGGCTAGTGAATGGAATGATGAAGAGTAACTCGAACTATTCATCAATTGATGTCCTGACATACAACAACACACTACTGGTATATCCTGATCCACTGGGAGTGTCAGTTAATGTTATCTGTATAGCAATGATTGGAGGAGTCAACTACAGTCAATCTGTGATATTGTATGGTATGATTATATTTTAATCAATAGTAGATACTTCTGTCTCTTTTCTAGCTCCTAGTGGTCCTCCAAATAATGTGAGAGGGTTTATATTAAATGCTAATAGTATCAAAGTGAACTGGACCAATTCATCAGAGACTAATGGATATGTGATTGAGTATACTACTGGAGGTGTAACCAGGAATATAGTATCTACCAGTGAAGATGAAATTGTACTAACAAATCTCTCACCAATGAGTACCTATACCATCAGTGTTTACTCATATATAGATCTTCCTTCAGTTGATAGTACAGTAACAGTGTTAAGATTTGATGGTGAGTTATCATTTAGAGCCGGAGTGTAATTGATATCTGTTGTAGTTCCTAGTCCAGTAACTAGTCTCTCAGTATCTAATGTCTCAACCACTGGTATTACAGTGAGCTGGACTATTCCCAGTAGTGACAACTATGTAACATATTACACCATCATCTATACTCCATCTTGTCCCCAGTTATCATCAGTGAATGAGACAGTCTCTGTTGCTCCTCATGAGTCCACTACAACATACAGTTATACATTAATAGATTTGTACAGTGGTATGAACTATACCATCAGAGTGAGAGCTGGTAATGTACTAGGAGGATCTGATCTTAG